GCAAGCTCAGATCAAACCCCCCGATTGGCCCAAAGCCCAGTTTAATGTATTTTGTTTTAAAACTGCCATGCAAACTTCAAAACTGACATCCTTTAAACTTTAAAATTGCGATCCTCTAGATAAAAAACGCCATGAACCAAAAGATACGCACCACATTATAAATTCGTAAAAAACCATCTCTTAATAACAAAAATGACATTGCGAATCAATTTGTGGTTGGATGGTTAAGAGGACAGTGGTATCTCCAGCCCACCAGGATTCAAGTCTTGATGCTTGCATTTATCCTGGATTTATTTCAGGATTTCGGGCGAGCTAATATATTTCCAGTCTATGCATGGATAAATGAATGATAAGAGCTATGAGCAGTTTATTAAACTACACTACGGCTAATATATATAAGGACAAATCAACTAGGAAAACCGTTGCCAAAAAAACCATTTGTTTAAGCTTATTCGTTCGCGCTAAGCTAAAAAACTAGATAAAAGAACTAGAAGCTGCCAAGGTCTTCAACCATTAGCAGGTAGGATCCTTTGCTTACTACTTGAAGCAGAAACCTAGAAAAGGAATTCTTTCTATTCCAAAATTCATCTTCTTTCATTTCCGTCGACTACGAGACGTCTAAGGTGACTTTGTAAAATCTTAAGATGATATGCTGACTCAGTCTTTTGAAGGTGCTCATATGGGTAAGATGTGTATGTGTGTGTTCATATAGATAAATGCATGCACGTATATATGAACACTTTGCGTCTTTCTTATAGCGAGATGGTTTGAAAATCCTACGTGGCTCGGATCGTGCGCCAATATACGTGCAAATGAATCCTACTGAGATAGGCCGTTCCCTGGGACCATCCCCTGGCTGACATTCGGCTGATAAGATTTCTGTTTTTTTAGGGGCGGAAATTAGATAGTTACACACTTATAAAATTATGCGCTATATTAGGTTTGAAAAATGTGAGAACCATTTTTGGTGCAGCTACAAGTCTCATGATGTACCACTTGATCAGTTTAGAAATTATAATACCTCGATCTTCTTAGAGGTAGCAAATCCAGTCAATCAAAGTATTAATGTGGTCAGTTAAAAAAAGTATTAATGTCGTGATCTTTTTACAATTTATCCAACAACAATTGTATATTTACCCTAGATACCCCCGGGAATGACCAACGGAGGATCGGCCCCATGGAGCCCGTCTTTTATAATACCATATTTTCATAGCACAAAAAACCTGAAAAGATTTATAAATATATGTATAACATGTTCAAGAGAAGTTTCATAATAATATATTTGCATATGTGGCCAGACAAAAAAGACAAATATGTACATGAAAATGGGCCAAATTTTTTATTGTTGGGCCTGGATTATTTTCGTAGCTTGCAAATTACAATATTTCTGAACGAAATTTTACAGTTTTGTCACGAATACATATAAGTTTCACAAGACGTTTTTTAAAAAACTTGGAAATATCATGTTTGCGTTTTTCAAAAAAGCAGGTTTAGAAGGAGCCTGGCGTGAGGGAAAATGGATTACTGCTCCTTGCCTTTATAGGTTAGTGAAAGGCCGAAGGTCCCTTTTACTAGGCCAGAGGAAATGCCACGTTCCAGTATCTGGTGCCGTCATACGTGCATGGAGTGAAACAATCCTTGATGATATCCCCCAAAATACAGAGCACAATCTCTGCTTTGATGAAACGTGCTAATGAAAGAACTGCCTCGATCTGGGATGGCTCTCCCTTCTCCCTTCTCCCTTCTCCCCCTCTCGCCCGAGGAGCTCTCCGTCCTCCCCTGCCCCACCATCCCCCTCCCCGTCGCCGGTGGTGCCCCGGCGTCTTCCCCTCCCCTCACTGATGCGACCCTCCCCCTTTCCCCTGCCCGCGTGTCGGTGCGGTCTTCCCCTCCTCCCTCTCCTCTGCCCGCGTTAGGATCTCGCTTTTGGGCTCTCGCCTCTGTTGAGGATGAGCCGTGGTCTGCTCCTCCCACCCCGCGCTGCTCGCCGGTGGATCCGGGGCGATCGTTGGCCCTTCCTCCTGCGCCCCGTCCCCGCAAGTTTGCTCCTGGTGGGAGGGGACGGCCTCTGGCGACTGCGGAGCCCGATGTTGGCTGGATCCGGGTTTCTCGTCGTCGGTGCAAGATCGGTAAGTGCTCGGCTGCCTCTTCTGGTTCGGGGATTCTGGGCGCCGCCCTTGATGGGGTGCTTGGTGGCTCCCCATCATCCTCTTCCTCCGGTGGTGCTTCCCCATCTGCCGTGCCGGCGGCGGCGGTGCTCTCGGGGCGGTTGGTGCCGCCGATGATGCTTGACCTAGATCTGCTGGCCGCTCCGTTGGCTAGTGGGCCACTGGATGGGCCCTCTGGTGGGCATGTTGGGCCTCTCGTGGTTGCCCCACCAGGTGGGCCCTCTCTTCCCCCTCTCTCGTCCATCGTCGATTTTCTCCCTCTAATTTC